GTTTATCAGTGAAACAACAATTAGTTGGGAAGAAATTTTGCCCATGAAATTAGAATTACTCATTTTGCTGTGACTTGACCAAGTGAATGTTACCCTGAGTGTGTATGACCTAATCAGATACAAGTAGGTGAGTAAGTGCCTGTGTTCTTCACGAGAAGAAAGAATACATCTTTGCTTCTCTTTCTGTTTACCAGTTGCTCAAAGGGCAATTTTCATTGAAAGTAAGTGTATGTCAGAGTTATTTATATGTTACATACTTATTAATATATGCATACTATATATAACATATATATAATGTCACTTTTATTTTTTTTTAGTTCAAGCCTACCTGTATACAGCATGTATATTCATAATTTGGAAATTTTTGAAATGTTATGTATACAATTTTTTTAGGTAATTTCTCACTTTAATTCCTTCTTATGGAACTCTCTTGTTTACAGTAACAAGCAAATCAGCAAATACAAAACTCTAGCTGGATGAGCCTCCTTACACTCTGACCTTGGTCTCCTGACTTGGTCTGCTGAATTCAGTGGGACTAAAGGGTCTGCTTGGATTCCAAGGATTCTTGGGTTTTGTTATGAGAGTCAGTCCTCTGTTCACAAAGGCGAGGTGGCTGTCATCTGTTCTACACTTGTCACTCTTTGCTAAAGCCTTGTGTCTTGCATAGTTTTTTTTTTATTTAATTAACATTTCCTTTCATTTATTTTACATACCAACCTGTTTACCCTCCCACTTTTCCTCTGTCTGCCCCCCAACCTCCCATCTACTCCCCTCCCCACCCACTCCTCCTCTGTCTCCATCCAGAAAGGAGCAGACCTCCCATAAGCTTTAACAAAACAAAGCACATCAAGTTGAGGCAGGACCTAGCTCCTCCCTCTGCATCAAGGCTGGGCAAGGTAGTGGGGAACAGGTTACCCAAAGCTAGCTAAGTGCCAGGGACAGACAGGTCCTGATCTCACTGCTAGGAGCCTTACAAAGAGACCAAGCTACATAACTGTCACACACATGCAGAGGGTCTAGGTTGATCCCATGTAGGCTTTCTAACTGTTGGTCCAGAGTCCACGAGATTCCACAAGCTCAGGTCAGTGCCTCTACGGGTTCCCTTGTCAAGACCTTGACCCCATTGGCTCATACAATACTTCCTCCAAATAGGTTTTTGTCCTAACTTTGAAATTAAGTAAGCATGTTGAAATTTCTATTTGTTAATGGAAAAATAAACTTCTGAGAAATAATTGCAACATGTCCAGAAAAAAACAAAAACAAAAACAAAAAACATTTGGCCTAAGACTTTTGAATACTTAGATTTTTTTTTTCCCCTACCTGGAAGCGAAATGTGCCACAGACTGACCCATCAGACCAGAACCCAGAAAAAAAAAAGAATGGAAATCATTCAGAATGTAAGGCTTTGATGAAAAAAAATATATATCCTGATTGTGCCTTAGCCTGTAGCTGGAGTTTTCTCCAGTCCTGCCTGGGCCCGAAGCCACTCAGACCCAAGTAAACACACAGAAACTTATATTACAAACATACTATCCTCCAGAGAAAATAAGCTTGTGGCTTACCAGTACTTTTACATCTTGTTTCTCATGGTGGGTGCGGCTAGCAGTATCTCCTGACTCAGCCTTCCTCTTCCCAGAATTCTCCTCTCTCTTGTCCTGCCTATACTTCCTGCCTGGCTACTGGCCAATCAGCACTTCATTTATTAACCAATCAGAGCAATGCATTCACAGCATGCAGAGGGATATCCGCAGCAATAGCCTGTCCTTCCAATTCAACTATCTAATTGCTTGCGTCCTCTACACTAAATAGAATCTCAAAAATAGGAATGTGAGAACCATGCTTCTAGGACCTCCCTAGCTCAGCACCTGATATATAAGGCAGGAGATTACACAGGTTAAGAACTTTTCAAAAATAAAAAATAAAATAAAATCTTTGGGGGAATTCCAGTTATCCATTGGTTTATTATATGATAAAAATAGAAATTTATCCATTTCTGATGGCCATTTTTACTAGAAATACACAACAGGTATGGTTCTTATCTCATTAAATTGAAATCAAATCAAATTTACAATGTTCTTAGTACATACTGACATACATACTAGCAGTGAAAAGGTATAAATATTTTTTTGAGACAGGGTTTCTCTGTGTAGCTTTGGAGCCTTTCCTGGAACTCACTCTGTAGACCAGGCTGGCCTCAGACTCACAGAGATCTGCCTGCCTCTGCCTCCCAAGTGCTGGGATTAAAGGTGTGCACCATCACTACCTGGCTATAAATATTATTTTTATATTCTGAGTTCATTAAAAAAATTCAAAGCAATAATCTAAATAGAAAAAATACCCAGAAAAACCTTATAACTCATTTGGGTAAACCTCTTACCAGATTCTTAGAACTCATTTCAGCAGAGAATGGAATAAAAACTGACTTAGGCAGTAGAGAGAACTTACAGATTTACATTTTTGAGGTTTTTGCATCTAGAGGTAAGACAGGAGGTTTGAATAGCACCAAGGGTCCTCTTTAATCTGGCCTCTACATTATTTTGGTTTCATTCTGAAGTTAGTCTAAGTCAACAAATCAGCCATAGTCATTGTTGTCAAAACCACCTACCTCATCATCTGAGGATGTGAGCTTCTTGCTTCATCAAACACAAAATGACTGTCTTTGCTATCTCTCTTATGTGACCACATGGAATCACATGTCTACCATGACTAGAATAGTAACAACTCTGTCTCAAGTTTAGGTTGAATGCCCATTGTTGAATCAATAAGTGGTATACACAAGTTGATAACTGTCATATGTAGTTATGTTCCTCAGATCTAACCATCATGTTGAGGTTGGAGTGGATACTACTCAGTAAATACTACTATTCAATGGGGACAATGACTATGAGTGACATCCTTATTGCTCATGAGTGTTCACAGTATATCTGAACATACTTTGTCATGGGACACACAATGCATCCTTCTTTGCCCACACATTTTGATCATGGACACATTTTGTTGTCTGTGTCTCAGATTTTTTGCATGAGGGCAACTTGGTGAAACAAAAGATGGCTTACATGCAGAATTTATCAGGCTAGACAAAGGACATTTCATTAGTACTCTGTGGTGTTAAACAGTGCTAAGATTTATTTATACATGGCTTAATAAAGCAGAATCTATCCCATCTTTTTAAAGAAGTAACTGATGCCATTAGTGGTAAAAACCCTTGCAAGAGTTCCAGTCAAAAAATCATTGGCAGAAATAAGGACTACATACAGCTAGACTGTCCCTCAAATCCATATCCTCACTTACAATACTTCGTGATAAACTCATTGAGAACTTCCATTCTAGAAAGTAAACAGTTGCAATATCTACTTATTTGCTTAAAGTTTATATATATATATATATATATATATATATATATATATATATATATAATTGTGTGTATTATTTAATATCTTCAAGCAATTTTAGGGAAACAGATACAGATAAGGGAAAAACAGAAAACCTTCCAAAAATACAATCTTTTCTTACTACTAATATGCAGACATCCTGCATTTATTCACTAAAATATTGCTACCTGTTTATTCAACTTTACCCATTGCTCAGTTTAGAAATTCAAACAATGCCTTTTCCTTTTTCTAAAAAAAAAAAAATTATTTATTTTGTGTGACTGCAGCCGTTTCCTCTCCCTCCTCTCTTCCCAGTCTCACTCCCTCTGTTTCTGTTCAGGAAAAGTCAGATCTCCCATGAGTATCAACAAACCATGGCATATCAAGTTGCAGTGAGACTAAACACTTCCCCATGTATTAAGGCTGGGCAAGATGACCCTGTATGAGGAAAATCGCACATTCCTGGCCCATAGACTTGTGTTTTTGTCTTGTTTCTTTAGGTGTTGCTTAGAAGTTATTAGGAAAAGAAGCCAATATGAGTTCTTCATACATAATAAACGTAAGTGCTATTAGCCTTATAGGATTTTATAAAAATGTCTAGCATGACTGGTCTTTATGTACTTGGTTATGGTACAAACTTAACCCAGGCATTCACTTAATTACTTGGAAATAATCTAATTACATTTAATTATCCAAATCCTTAGTACTTTCTAAAAAAACTTTTATTTGCAATTGTTGTACTACAAAGACACAGGAATCTGGGCTTTGTCTTATGTTTCTACTTTATCCTTTCCAGTTTGAATTCTGATACTTTATTCAGAGTTGCTACTGCATGCAACAGGTAGACATTTTGATAAATATAAAAGTATTTTCTTTTGATTTGATAAACATCTCTTTATTGATGTATATTTTTTATTTTAACTGTAATATAAACTATTTGCTGAACTTAAGGTAAAAAGTTGGGAGATGGATCAAATTTTAACTTTTGTTGTCTTTTTTCAGACAAATATTTAGGCCTGGTGGTTAGGCAAAGCTCCAACAGGACAGCAGCACACCTTTTATCTAACCTGTTTAAAGATTTGTTTTGTCAATGTTAAGTTCAAATGTTCTCAAATGAATTACCAAGCCTGAAGCTAAGCAATAGCTTTCAGTATACATCCATGCTTTGTAGTTGAAGCTTATATGGATTTATATTTTAGGCTGTCAATTATAAAACAGACAAACAAACAAACAATAAAGAACAAGCTGTAAAATGTGATATAAACTGAAGACCACAAGAATTTGGATATGAAGATAGCCTCACATTAGGTAATCTGATCTGGGATGAAAATTTCATGTGTGTGGAAGAATTTCATCAACATCTCATGCTTCTTTTTCCTTCTCTTTACCTCCAACATTTGTATAAACATCAATTCCAGGAAATTAACATCAATTCCAGGAAATTATTTCTACCATTTGCTCTGAACTAAACATCCCTTGGCCTCTGACCTGGAAGGAAATCATGTAAAGAAATAATTAAAATAAACATGTTCCCCATGGGCTTGAAAACGAAAAAAAAAAAAAAAAAAAAAAAACCTTACTCTGAGGTTAAGGATTTTTCCACAAAACCAAAAAAACCCAAAAGTTCATATAGCTGATGTTCACCCAGTTGTTCTTAATTTCTTTTTGTTCCAAACTTAGTCCTAAAAATGGAGTTATTTATAATTTTAGCTGTGTGTGTATGTGGCTATGTGAGTTTATGTGCATCATGTGTATCTCATAGAGGGCAGAAGAAAACATCAGGTCCCCTGGAAGGAGTTCTAAGCTGCCATGTTGGTAGATGCTGCTAATGGAACTCAGGTCCTCTGCAAGCTAAGTAAGCAACTACTGGACCATTTCTCCAGCCCCTGCACTAAATGTATTTATTGACTGTTGTCTGAAAGGCTGTTCTTTTTAAAAATCAGTTATTCAGAACACTCCATAATACAGATTTTACTTTTCTCTGGATTTCACACATTTAATTCTGTTATATATTATTTTGAACACAGTTAAGGGGAAAAAAATCTCAAGGATTTTAAAAGATAGTGGGAATTCTGAATGCTTAGTTAAATATTTCTGAAGCTTTGAAACATCCACAGACATAAACAATTATCCCAGTTATTATTATTATTATTATTATTATTATTAATTATTATTATTATTGGTGGTGGTGGTGATGTTGTAAGTGGATATAAAAGCTAGATCTATCTAAATATCTTTCAAGACCAAACTACCTAAAAGGACTTGGAAACATTATCCCAGTTATTACAAGTGTCCCAATGATCTATTGTCATATTTTGATTTTTGTTGTATGACATTTTGTTTGTGTTCTGTCAAATAAAGCTTGCCTGAAGATCAGAGGGCAGAGTTAGCCACCAGTTAACCACAGAGGCCAAGCAGTGGTGGCATACATCTTTAATCCCAGGAGGAAGCAGGAACATCAGGAGTTCAAGGCCTCCCTGGGCTACACCAGATTGAGCAAGTCTAAAGAAGAAACAATGCCAGGCAGTGGTGGCTCACACCTTTAATTCCAGCACCTGGTAGGCTCATGCCTTTAATCCCAGCACCTGGAAGTCTCATGCCTTTAACCCAGCACTAGAGACAGATATAAAAGTCAGGTGGACACAGGATCCCCTTTTGGCCTGAGATTTCATAGAGGTAAGAAGTTTCTGGTGACTGGCTGCTCTGCTTCTCCGATATCTGACTCTGTGTTTTTATTGTTAAGACTAATTAGGGTCGAGCTTCAGATTTTATTTCAGTATTTAAAGGTAATCTCCAAAGAAGGGCTGGAATTTTCCTTACTGTATTGTGAGCACCATTTCTACAGACTCAGGCACCCCATCTCCATCATGCTTATTTCCTCTTGAGGTTAGTGTGCTTGGAACACAGTGTGAAAAGAATATTCAAAAATGTTGCTCAAAGTATGAAGGAATTTTCCTATTAGTTTCTGGAGGCTTGAGCTTCTACAAGACATTTTTGTACTTCAGATGATAGATGATATAATGGTCTCCATGTTTGACTGAATGTTGCTCAGGATCAGAGCCTTTTGAGGCCTTAATCTGAAAATATTTTAACTAGATATAATTGTGTTTAGAAAGATTAGTGATTCTGCACACAAACATATGACAAAGCACCCTGGGTGAAGAATTTAGGCTTGTGAGCATTTCTATCAAATATTGTTGTTGGTGTTGTTCATTTTGGATTATTAGATGTATTCCATGTGTTAATGTCAAGATACCATTTCTCTTGAAATGAATGTTTAGGTAAAACTAGACTTCATCTTTGATTATAGACTTTCAATATTCTTTTCAGATCACCTATCCCTCCCGCACCTCCAAAAACACTCCAGGAGATTCTCAATGAAGTTTCTGTGTTTCACAAATCCATATAGACTGCCATTTGTTTCACCTTCTAAATTATTCTCTCTTTAAAACATCAGTTTTATCTTGTCTTTGAGCTATCCTAGTCCATTCCAGGACTGGAGGCTAGATATGAAGTCACTCTGAAAAGAATGGTTATTAGAAGTATTTATATTTCTTATCAGTTTTTTAGTGTTCAATAAGAAATTTTTTTTTTTTTGGTTTTTTCGAGACAGGGTTTCTCTGTGTAGCTTTGCGCCTTTCCTGGGACTCACTTGGGAGTCCAGGCTGGCCTCGAACTCACAGAGATCCGCCTGGCTCTGCCTCCCGAGTGCTGGGATTAAAGGCGTGCGCCACCACCGCCCGGCCTCAATAAGAAATTTATCTTCAAGATGGTGTCATTATTTTGGGATAATTCTTTGTGTCAAATGTCTTTCTCCTTCCTAGAGTCTGAAGGAGTGAAGGATAACATTCCCTTTGATACTACAGCTTCTTCTGAAATCCAGTCCAGTCACATTGAGTTGCATGAAACAGTGAATACAACTTTCAACTACTGTGTAAATTGGAAGAAGAGGAAAAATGGAAAGATCAGGTGTGAACCAAATGGAAAAGTACTATTAAGCAACATCTAGTTGCATTTATGTAACCTTTAAGGACAGAACAGATTCTGAGAAACATGTCTTTAGGCAGTGTTATCACTGTGTGCTCTTCAGAGTGCATTTGAACAAACTAAGAGGTCTTTGGCATGGTTTCTTGATGCAATAAAATGGTTATTGCATCAATGTTGAATCATATCAAAGATGTTGAATATAAATTCAACATGTGATATATGTCTTGGTCCTGAAGTACCAGACACTGCTGTAGTATTAGTTATCTTACTCACAGGTGTGACAATCATCTGACAAAAGCAACTTAAATCAAGATATTATATTTTGGCTTACATTTCATGGGGACACAGTCCACCATAACAAGGAATGGAAGGTGTCACACTGCATAGAGCAGAATTCAACTTGCACAAAGTAACAAATGCCTGTGCTCAGCTCACCTTTTCCTATTCTATTTGGGACCTCACCCAATAGTACTGCTGGCATTTAGTGTAAATTTTGTAATCTCATTTAACCTTGCATAGATAATGCCTGCACATCGACACTTAGAGATTTGTCCCTATGGTGATTTTAAATCCCTTCTAATTGGTGATCTAGGCACCACACTATCTTTAAACTCTGTGAGTGTGAATAGAATATTATAAAATAATAGTTAAACGGTATAGAACAGTGGCTGCCTTAAGCAGTAGCTGTTGCTTATTATCAACATCAGGGCTGTCAAACTGTGTGTCATGGTATGTTCTATTCTTCTGAACTACATGCAGTAGGTTTGCTCACATTAGCATCACCTATCACCACAAGCGTTTGGATAATATGTTGCCCTGTGATGATGTGAAGTCCTTATATGATAAGACTGACCTCACCAGAAAGAAGGATCTTTTCTCCTCTGTTAGGTACCCACAGCAGCGTTGTGGCTTGTGATACACACTTACTTAACAGTTTGAAGTTCTTTATAAAGTCTGGTTTCTAAAACTATTTTGTGAGAATTCTTTAAACTTAATGCCAGCAGAAAAAGGTACTTTGTGAGGGTTAGCTAGGTAGTATTTGGCACATTTAGAATCATTCCGTTGAAGAGATTAAGGACTTTGAACTCCTTGGATCACAAAAGTCCTTGAAATCATTTTTCATAACCTACTTATCATTAGTTTTATGTCAGTGTTGACTGCTTTAACAAACAAGTTAACTCAAATTATTTGAGCAATCTCTTCACCAAAAACATTGAGACAGTGTCTACAGTATCACATAATGCTGTTTCTACTTATTTTCATTGAGCCCTGCATATCTACTTTACTCTTTGCTAATGCAACCTTTTGATCAGCCGACTACCAAAGCCTGAGCTTCATCATGCACTGCCTCGAAAATTTGTAACACAATCTGAACCTTTTGACCTCATTGTAGCAAAGTAGTAATTTATGTCAGATAGGCCTTGATAACACTATTAAAATTGTTTTCAACCTTGGAACAGCTAATTAGAGAGAGAAGATTCCTATATTGCTTTACCAAGCAGGGTCCCACAGTGCCTATTATCTTCCTGATTAAATACAGTACAATTTCTAACACTTTGGGGAAATCATCAAATGAGCCATGTTTGGCATAGGATGTGTTTATATAGGGAATGTATTAAAACAGCAGCTTTCCTCTGTCATTCAGAAAGCAAAATGACACTTTGACCCACGACATTCTTTACATGGTGATGGTACAGATTGTGTTTTGAGAAGTTATGAAACTTGGCTAAGGTCACTGTTGGGTCTTTCAATCTTGTACAAGATTAATTTTTCCAATATATTTTGTGGGTGTAGAGAGGATCAGAGAGAACATGGAGGTCATACTAGTGTCTGATGAAATTTTCCTATGACACCTGCTGCCCATCCCACATTTTTTATGTGGAAATCTTTTAATCTTGATGTACCAAAAATATTTTGTCTGTTATATTATTTACTAAAAAATAAATAAAACTCTAAAACCCTATATTATTTCCAGCTTCTATAAATAATAGCTAAAGCTTGGAAATTAAAACATATTTTGCGCCGGGCGGTGGTGGCGCACGCCTTTAATCCCAGCACTCGGGAGGCAGAGCCAGGCGGATCTCTGTGAGTTCGAGGCCAGCCTGGTCTACAGCGCAAGATCCAGGAAAGGCGCAAAGCTACACAGAGAAACCCTGTCTCGAAAAACCAAAAAAAAAAAAAAAAAAAAAAAAACATATTTTGCAATAAAATTTTTTCAACATTTCATATTAATTAAAGGATAAGACACATTTGGCAATGCTATTAAAGTAATTTTTTAAATCCAAGACTTCATACTGTCAACACTTGGTCAAAATAATCTCCAATCTTTTTAATAAATCTCGTGATTAGTTCACACAGTATTACTGGATTCTTCTCTAAAGTAGATGTGGTATGCAGGGCATTTTTTAAACGCTTTTTTTTCTTTGTGACTCAAATAACAAATGGGAAAACAAAATCAAGTTAACATCTGTTTCAAACTTTCAAATACCACTTTACATAGACTTAAAATTCATCAAAACAGAATAAAATAGTGTACACACACACACACACACACACACACACACACACACACACACACAAATAAGTTAAGTCTTAAATTTTAACTATTACCCTTAAAGAATTTTATAGTGTATATGTGATATTGGATGGACGGTGCTAGGGGCTCTCCCTACCTTCTCAGCTGGTTTATTCAATTTCAAGGTGGATGCACTTTGATGGTTGATACTGGCTCATATTCTTTTAATATGTTACACACCTTTTGCCACACTCTTTTTATTTCTTAACACACACAAAGTACTGTCCATGCACTGGGGAAATGTCTGACCACTCCTGGAAGCACCAACCTTTCATTTCTTACTATTGTCCTCCTAGACAGGAAGATACCCAATCATTCATTTGTACCTGATTTTTTTATTATGGATTTTTTTACTCATTTTACATACCAAACACAGATATCCGATCCCCCTCTCTTCCCTTCTCCTGCCTCTCCAGCATTCCCTCCCCCAACCCACCCTCCAATTCCTCCTCCAACAAGGTATAGCCTCCCAGATCCTGGTACATTCAGTAGAGGCAGTTCCAAGCCCCTCCCTCTGCATCAAGGCTGTGCAAGGTGTCCCACCATAGACAGTGGGCTCCAAAAAGACAGCTCATGCACCAGGGATGGATCTTGATCCTACTACCAGGGGACCCCTTAAGTAGATCAAGCTACACAACTGTCCTGCTTATGCAGAGGGCCTAGTCCAGCCCCAAGGAGGCTCCACAGCTGTTGGTCTAAAGTTAATGGGTTCCCACAAGTTTGATTTGATTGTCTCTGTAGGTTTCACCATCATGATTTTGATGCCCCTTACTCAAAGAATCCCTCTTCTCTCTCTTCGACTGGATTCCTAGAGCTCGGCCTGTTGCTTGGCTGTGGATCTCTGCATCTGCTTCCATCAGTTACTGGATGAAGGCTCTATGATGACAGTTAGGGTATTCACTGATCTGATTAATAGGGTAAGCCAGTTCAGGCACCCTCTCCTCTATTGCTAGTAGTCTAAGGTGGGGCCATCCTTGTGGATTCCTGGGAACTTCCCTAGCACCCAGTTTCTCTGTATCCCCATGATATCTCCCTCTATCATGGTATCTCATTCATTGGTCTCCTACTCTGTCCCTGTTCCAGCTTGACCATCCCATTCTCTTATGTTCTCATCCACCACCCCCTACCCTCTATTGCCCCTCCCTCATCCCCAGTTTACTCATGGAGATCCTATGTATTTTCCCTCCCCTTCCCAGAGCGATCCACATATCCTCTTAGGTCCTCCATATTAGCCAGCTTCTCTACCTGATTTTTTTTAAAACTGTAGTTTTAAAAATATTACTCTTCTTTAATCTACTCTTGTGTGTGTGTGTGTGTGTGTGTGTGTGTGTGTGTGTGTGTGTGCTTCTCACTGTGGTCTGTTATGAAACAAATCAATATAATGGATTGTTTCTGCTTTATTATGTACCTGACATACACTAACTCCTTTAATTCTACCAGCAATCCTAGAAAGTAAGAATTACTGATTTCCTTACTTTGCATAAGAAGTATTGCAGCTTTAGAAGAGTTTAGTAATTTTCCTGAGAATATCTATAATCCAAATATATAAGTCATGTCATAGTTGCAATGAGACAATAATCCAAATGCAATGATGAATGTGTATAGGAAAGGAAAGACATTTTTCTAAAAGGCTCCTGGTGGTTCCTAGCAGGATTAAGCTTCAAGAAAAGGGGTGATCCTATCTTGTGCAACCTATTGGCATAAGCTGGTCAAGTAGAAACACACAGACACATAGAAACACAAACTTCCCCCCGACCCACACAGAGACAGACAGAGAGACAGAGAGACAGAGACACACAGGGAGAACCACGGAGTTTCAAAATAGTTAGGAATGACAAAGGGCTTGGTTAAAATGAATAGCACTTGTAAACTATATTAGGTACTTCAAACTACGACAAGGGCCACTTTCTACATTTTAGATGAGGAAGTAACTTCACAAAACAAGATCATCACATCTTAGGTGGTGAAGCTCTAATTTGAAATCATAAACTGCTCAAAGTACTTATGTATTTTCAGTGGTCATTAATTTTACTAATGAACTTTTTAAAAAGGCATTTAGCTAAAATTCTAGGGTTCAATATAGCATGTAAAAGATCAGGAGCACAAAATTTATACAATGATATTTAAAACCTAAAATGTTTGTCAGACAATCACACATTCCTCTAACCTATAATTTCTTTACCTGGGAAAAGCAAGCAAGCAAACGTATAAAAAAAGACTTGGAAAAAACCATACAGAACATAATTATTACCATTAAATTCCTATTGACATAGTGATGTTGTTAGAAGAAAAAAAAAACTCAGAAGTTGAAACTAGATTCATATAGGAAAGCTTAAAAATTGTTAATGGAAGAATGTTGTCATAAATAGAAGAACCTCCTTTTATTCCCTCTGGATTTTCTATCCTA